AATTTGTTGAAGTTCTTCATCATTAAGCTCAATTCTTCATTGAAGACTTGTTTCTCACTTGATGTTGTAGGAGAATCACATGAAGCTTTGTAAGCACCACTAGACTTGTTGTGAAGCTCTTCCTTATCCTTGAGTGACATCTCATGAGCACCAATTCTACCAATGACTTTCGTTGGCTTGAGATCTTTGTAATTGGGCATCATTTGGATCAATGTGCACACGGTATCATACTTTCCATCCAATGCTCTTAGGATCTTCTTGATGATGAATTTGTCGGTCATCTCTTTGCTTCCTAAGCCAGCAATCTCATTTGTGATGAGAGCAAGCCTAGATTACATCTCAGCGAATCCTTCACCATCCTTCATTTTGAACTTGTCAAGTTGACTTTGAAGCACATCCAATTTGGATTCCTTAACGAACTCAATACCTTTGTGCCTATCAACCAAAGTATCCCAAATTTCCTTTGCATTCTCAAGGCGGCTAATTTTGTTGAATTCTTCGGAGCACAATCCGTTGAAGAGGATATCGCAAGCTTGAGCATTGTATTGCAGCATCTTCAACTCTTTTGCGGACGCTTCACGATCCGGTTCTCTTCCATCCTCGAAGTATTCAACTTCCAAACCAATACGCACAATAGCTCAAGCGGCGGGGTTATGACCAAGAATATGCATTTTCATCTTATGCTTCCAACTAGCAAAATTTGTACCATCAAAGTAAGGACCTCTACGATGGTAATTTCCCTCGCTAGACGCCATACTCTCCTATGCTGTGAAACCAAGGCTATGATCACAAAAGCTATGGAAATCAAGGCAAATGGAGACCAAAGCTCTGATACCACTTGTAGGATCGAAAGTAGGTCTAGAGGGGGTGATTATACTACCTTACCAAACAAAAATCTAGCTTTTCCCAATTTTAAGTGTTGGCAGATTTTAGCAACTAGTACAAGTAAAGCAATCAACCTACACATGCAATTCTAAGAGTGTAGCAGCGGAAAGTAAAACATTGCATATGAAGGTAAAGAGAAGGGTTTAGAGAAGGCAAACGCAATGTAGACACGGAGATTTTTGGCGAGGTCCCAATAGGTGGTGCTATTGTACATCCACGTTGATGGAGACTTCAAATCACGAAGGGTAAGGGTTGCGTGAGTCCACGGAGGGCTCCACCCACGAAGGGTCCACAAAGAAGCAACCTTGTCTATCCCACGATGGCCATCACCCACGAAGGACTTGCCTCACTCAGGTAGATCTTCACAAAGTAGGAGATCTCTTTGCCCTTACAAACTTCTTGGTTCGACTCCACATCTTGTCGGAGGCTCCCAAGCGACACCTAACTAATCTAGGAGACACGACTCTCCAAACGGTATTAGACGGTGTGTTGATGATGAACTCCTTGCTCTTGTGCTTCAAATGTTAGTCTCCCCAACACTCAACTCTCTCTCTCACAGATTTGGATATGGTGGAAAGAAGATTTGAGTGGAAAGCAACTTGGGGAAGGCTAGAGATCAAGATTCTAGTGGTAGGATTGGAATGTCTTGGTCTCAACACATGAGTAGGTGGTTCTCTATCAGAAAATGAGTAGTGGAAGTGTAGGCACGTTCTGATGGATCTCTCTTAAATGAAGAAGAGGATGGAGGGGTATATATAGCCTCCACACAAAATCCAACCGTTACACACATTTGACCCAACTCGGTCAGACCGAATAGAAGAACTCGGTGAGATCGATTTAGTTCAAAATGTGAACGTTAGAAATCTCGGTGCGACCGACATGATCAACTCGGTGTGACCGATGTGCTAGGGCTAGAGCAAAACCTCATCTTGGTGAGACCGATTGCTTGAACTAGGTGAGACCGATTTCAACAAAGATCAAACAAAGAGTTGGTCAAGCAAACTCGGTGGGACCGATCGCTCATTTCGGTGAGGCCCAAATGTTACGAAGTGAAACAAAGAGTTTGTCAAGCAAACTCGGTGGGACCGATCGTTCATTTCGGTGAGACCGAAATGTTACGAAGGAAAACAAAGAGCTTGCAGGGCCATCTCGGCTAGACTGAGATTCGTATCGGTGTGACCGAATTGTCTAGGGTTTCTGGCAGTGGCTATGTCAACTGAACTCGGTGGCGCCTGATGGATCAAATCGGTGGGGCCGAGTTTGACTTTAGGTTTTGGACATATTTGGAGCGAGAAAGTGGTTGAGGGTTTTGGAGCAATATCACTAAGCACTTTGAGCAAGTAGACCATTAAGCAACACCTCATCCTCTTTTAATAGTATTGACTTTTCTATACACTCAATGTGATCTTGGATCACTAAAATGAAAATGAAGAGTCTTGAGCTTTTGCCAATCTTGTTCCTTAGCATTTTGAGGGGACCACATCTCCAATCCATGCCATGTCAATCATTGAACTTTCTGAAATAATCAACTTGAATGATCATTAGTTCAATGAGTTATATGTTGTTATAAATTACCAAAACCACCCGGGGATTAGTTGCACTTTCAATCTCCTCCACCGCCAGCGCCGACTAGGCTTCGCTCGGCCGTGTCCTCTAGCGGCAGCGAGGAAGGAGGAAGAAGGGAGGGGAACCTCGGCAGCGGCTAACCCTCTCGTCGCTCGCGGGAGTGATATTTTTTTCTTTTTCCCTTTTCCTTTTGCTTGCTTAAGGTTCTTTAACGGCTGCAACATGATCTTTCATCACATTATTGCTCTCTTTTTTATTGTGAACCGTAGGTGTCTCGTCGTCGATGGAAATGTCTCCTCCCATTAAAAATGCGTTACTGGAAATCCTGAAATAAATCAGGGATAATGTGAGCATTAGGACTTGAATTCTGATGGACTGAGAATTGTCTCTCTAACCATCCAACCACCCTCTAACTATCCAACTACAGGTTGGTTCGCGCAACGAAAATATAATATACTCTCTCCGTCCCATAATATAAGAACATTTTTTTAACTGTATAAAAACGTTTTTGACACTAGTGGAGTGTTAAAAATGTTCTTATATTTTGAGACAGAGAAAAGAAGAAGCTGATTTAGGGCATCTCCAGCCGCGCCCCCAAGAAGGCCTCCCCGGGCGTTTTTTTCACACCGGCGCCGAAAAAACGGCCCAGTGCGCCCCCAGGAGCCCGATTTTCGCCGGCTTGGGCCGAAAACAGCGCTGGCGGACCCAGCCCGAACCCGGCGCGCTGGGGGGCGCCGGGCGAATTTTTTGGCGCGAAGAATCCGCGGGCCCGCCGCGTCAGCGACACGGCTCTCTTCTCGGCCCTTCGTCGTCCTCATCGCCTCGTTTGCCGCGGCGAATCAATGCCAAAGCTACCGCGTGCTGCCGCGCTGGTCAGCCTGCGCCATTTATGCCTCACGGGCGGCGCAGTGAAGACCGGACGACGCGCGTCCCTCGCCCGCCACGCGTACACACGGTGCCACGCGTGTGGGCGGCGCCTCGGCCTATATATGACGCGCCCCGGCGCACACGGCGACTCACTCTCCCGCCGTCGTCGTTCCTCCCTCCCCTCTCCTCTCTTTCGCCGTCTCCAGTTCGTACCCATGGCCGAGCGCTTCCCTAGCGACGGCGCGGCGGCGAACGGCTTCGGCCGCCGCCATCTTCATGAAGACGAGGCTCGCCTCCTTTACGAGGCCGAGTACCCGGTCCCGCCGGACATGCGGGTGCCCGGGGGGTGGAGGATCAGCGCGGGCGGCGTGCCGGTGCCCTCGATACCCACCGGCACGGCGCGGCGTGCGAAGTTCGCACGCATCCGCTCGAACCTGCCGCGTGCGGCGAGGGAGGGGCCACGGTACGTCCCCGACAGCCCGCTCTAGGACCCGTACTTCCGCCGCCGTCACGCCCAGTAGCTCGAGGCCACCAACGGCGTCGTGCCCTCCGACAAGCTCAACTCCGCCGGCCGACATCGGTGGTGGGGCGTGCCCGGGCGCACGTTGGAGGCCGTCCTCGAGTACATCGAGGGCGGCAACACGCCGCGCCTCGAGTACCCCGCTCCCCCTTCCTTCTCACGCCGCCGGGGAAGCTCCTGGACCCCGAGGCGCATGGAGACCGGGGGGTCCTCCTCCTCGTCCGGCGGCTCGCCCTGCCTCCGCCCCGTCAAGCCAGAGCCCCAGGGCACACCTGTCGCCGCGCGCACCCGCAGCTCCGGCGTCCGCATCGACGCCAACGCCTCTCCATCCACCGGCCGCTTCGTCCTCGTCGAGCCCAAGCCGGAGCCCGGCCTCCCCGCGGAGTACGAGGAGATAGCCCGACGCGGCTTCTCCGACGAGGACGCCATGCGGTGGACGCGGGACGACTACCTCCGCGACAAGACGGTCCGGCAACGCCGGGCCCTGGAGGAGATCGCCGCCTGCAAGCGTGGGCGCGAGGACGTCCACGGCGTCGTGGTCCTCGACAGCGACGACGACGACGACACCCTCGGACCGTCCAACCCGCCGCGCCAACCGGGGGAGGGATGCAGCAGGGACGGCAGAGGCGTAGGCGGGGGCGGCGGCGACCGCGACGACGACGACGACGACGATGACGACGGCGGTGACTACACGCGGTTCTACAACCTCCTCGGCATGTAGAACCGCGTGGGCGGCGAGGCGGGCGGCGAGGGAGACGGCGGGGGTAGCCCGCGGTAGTTTTTTTTTCTTTTTTTTAAAATATGTTTAAGTTTGAACGAACTCGCCGATGTTTGCGTTAAATTTGAGTCGTTTTGCGCCGTATTTAATTTTTTTGAACGAACCGTGGGCGCCGCGACTGGGGGCATCACGTCCCCAGTGCGCGGTTTAGCGCTGATGCGCTCCCAGGGGGCGATTTTTTGCCCCTCCTGGAGAGCCAACGGCTGGAGATGCCCTTAGATTTAGACTTTGCTGTGCTATATTTTAGGGCACACGACACTGCGGCGTGGACCCCGGCCGCTTTCCCCTCCTCCTTTCTTCTCTCCCAAGTCCCGGACCCTCTAAACCCTGCAAACACTGGACAGCCACAGAAAACCCAGACCCGCCGCCGCCGCCGCCGCCGCCATGGTCACCGCCGGAGCTCTCCACGCTGGCAGCCGTGTCCTCCTACCGATCCGCCGAAGCTTCAGCACACCCTGGTCCCACGTCCGCTCCCACCTCCACTCCACCAAGCCCCCTTCTGCTCCACTCCCGCCCCCACCTCCGCCGCCGCCTTCTTCCCACGCGGCGTCCACGCGCTTCACCCCTGCCTTCACCCCTACCACTAGGAGGAGCGGATCAATCGGCTCCGGGGTAGTCGCGTGGTACCTCGGCTCGATCGAGGCGCGGCCGCTGCTGACCAAGAGCATCACGGCTGCCACAATTTACACCGTTGCCGACCTCACCTCCCAGGTGACATTGTGTTCTTTCGCGTTATCTCCAAATCTTCATTTCCTGGAGGAAACGCCGTTGCTGGTGATTTCCGTGGCGCTGGAATCCTGGAACGGTTCAAAAAGTCGAAATCTAATACGCTTCGGCGGTCGGAGATGATATTCTCTTATGCTTTCGTATGTAATCATGGTCGTGATAAATCATGTCGTTGTTATGTTTGGGTCACAGAAACGCGGGATTAGCAAAAGTCAATTTTCTAGAAATGATGCTATATTATCATCAGCATAAGTTCATAAGACACACATTTTAGTGTAACGAATTTCTGGAAATGGCACAGATCGAAAGTATTGTTTGGAGTTGATCCAAATTCTAAACCTCTGAAATAATGGAGATGGGTCCTCTTAGAAACTCGAAATGTGGTGCATTTGAGCGTAGGAATTTTTGACTTCAGATGCTACCGCCAGCATGTGGATTTTATCCTTTGGTTTCCTCACTGTCAGGAACACTGCTTTGCATGAACTCTTGTAATTGATTGCATTTACCGGCGAACCAGTTCACGTCAGGAACTAAGTTGCGATTGACTGCTGTTTACTGTTTCCTTAGGAGGGGTATTGCTTCTTATATATTTTCTTCTGTTTTGTCGTTGCCTCTTCAGATGATCACACTTCCTGCTGAGGAGTCACTCGATCTAACTAGGACTCTGCGCATGGCTAGTTATGGGATGCTGTTCTCAGGACCTTCACTGCACTATTGGTTCAACTTTATCTCAAAAGTAGTCCCCAAAAAGGATGTAGTGAGCACCTTCAAGAAGATGTTTCTAGGACAAGCAGTTTATGGCCCAATTATTAATTGTATTTTCTTCTCGTATAATGCAGGATTACAAGGTATCATACTCATATGCTTCTCTATAGACATATTTAGATAGTTTTAATTTACTATGTACTTCTGTTTTGTCGTTAATGCGCTTTCTGTTTTTTCCCCATCTTCTTGACTTGATTTTGTTTTTACTTCTCTTGGGACTTGCTTCTATGACCCCATCTTTATAATATTGATCTATCAATTCCAACTGTGCCGCTTTATATGCATGTCATTACTCTATTTCGGCATTGTTAATATACAAACAAATATCTGAGCAGACAATAACACACCATACACAATTAAGCTGATGTTTTTTGTTGTATTGTTTATTTGTGTTTAGCATATTGTAGTAGAAAAGGTAAACATGTGGGATTAAAATTCAGTAGTTCCTTCCTGGGATTCTAAAGATTCATTCTCTCTAAAAGAATGTTAGAACCTAATTGCATGATTCATTTTCCTATTGTTGAATCCCTAATCTCCTAAATACATTTACCATTTGTACTTTTAAGTCTGCTAGAGTTGAAACATCCTGCTTGGTTCTGAAATATCAGGTTTTTGGCCACAAATTATACTCAATGAATTAGTAGGCCTGAAGGTGGAAGTGAAAGTAGTAAATGGCCAATTTTCAGACCATATATGGCACCTCATGTTCTGCAGAGCATGAAAATATTTGTATACCAGCTGTGCAGTTTTCTCTTGAAACGGTGTCTTTAAGGATTGTTAGAGCTGGGAATTTGTTTATTTTAGTTAAGTTTGCTTGTTTGTTTGGTCAAAAAAAAAAGATGCTAGTTGGAGATAAATTTTTCAATGGATATTTCGATACAAAAAGATAATATATAAGATAGTCCATTCAATTCTAATGCTCCTTGTTTATGTTTCATAAAATAATAATGCCAGAATTTATTGTTCTGTGCCTTCCAGCTGCGTCAACAAGTGTAGTCATGCTACTAGACTGCAGTCTGTCCTTGCAGTCGTGCCTATCTATTATTTTGGTCTTTATCCATGCAAACTTAGTATGACCGATGGACAACATAAGAAACACATAAAAACCCAAAGGCTGGTGATTGTTTCGCTTGGTAAATTCCTTCACTAACAGTCTGATGTTTATATGTTGAGGTGCAGTATTTCTAATTTCTGCTGACATCCCAACTACACAATGATCATAAATTTACGCTTTTACTGGTTTCTAAGATCCTTCTATATATCTGGTAAAAATGTCCTTACTAACTAGCTGGCTTTAAATATTACTCCCTCCGTCTGGAAATACATGCCGGAGAAATGGATAAAAATGGATGCATCTAGAACTAAAATACGTCTAGATACATCCATTTCTCCGACAAGTATTTCCCGACAGAGGGTATAACGGTTTGAAGTGAGCCATGATCAAGTTCATGACCTATGGGTCACGGACCACAATACCACCAATTTCATGATAAGGTTTGCATGCTCCGTAAAGAAATATAAGAGCTTTTAGATCACTACAGAGGGACTAGTAAACATTTATGCCCACTGTGGCCATGATGTGAGAAGCTATGTTCAGATAATCGTACATGAAGTATACCTTCCCTGCCAACTTTAAACAAAAAATTCTCTTTTGCGTACATTCTGGCAATGACACTCATGAGTCCTCTAATTGCTTGATCGATATGATTCCCAGGTGAGACAATCCCAGAGATCATTGCAAGATTAAAGCGGGATATAATTCCGACCATCAAAAGTGGGCTCATTTATTGGCCTCTTTGTGACTTCATCACTTTCAAGTTTATCCCTGTTCATTTACAGGTAATGTTAAGTCCCTGATATATTCTACCTATTTGAGCTTCAAACTTGTTTGCCAGCAATCTGAACTGAGGATTTATTTTTCAGCCGCTAGTAAGCAATTCCTTTGCGTTTCTTTGGACCATCTACCTAACATACATGGCCGGCTTAAAGAAACCAGGCGTGGAGGTGATCACGAGCTCTTAGTCATAATCAAATGACTGAGTTTCTGCCAGTTATTCTGAAAGGAAGTCTTCATGGGCATTACTAGGAACTATGACGGGGCCGTCATTACCACCACTAGCTCATTTAAGCTTTCAATGTTCAACGACCAAAACAGAGACAAACTGCTTGCTAGGCATATTTCGTTTTCAGTAGAGTAGTATCCACCAGGCTTTTCTGGTTTGCGTACAGTTTTGGCTAGGCATTTCTGTATGGATGGTAGAATGACACTAGGCATTTCTCCCATCTTTCTGAAGTTTGTCATATTGCACTTAGAAACAAGCAGTTTTTACCAAATTGTCTGTGCCCAGTTATGCAGATGTGGTAAAATTGTTCTTGTCCCTAAGATAAAGTGGACAAGGCAAGGTTTACGCTTGAAGATCTCTACATACAATGCAACATTTGTTAGCGGATACTTATGTACATCTCCCTCCCTTGTACGCAGAAAGAAGACGATTACACAGTTCGTTCACTTCTTCTTGGTGTTGGTGCTCTTTGAAATGATTTTGTTGTATTTTTTGTAGATGTGAATGATGACTTCCTATTGATCGCATTCCTCTGATTGCAACGAATTAGTTTTTTGATGTACATATAATAATGCATATGCTTCTGTAAGCCACCCGTAGCTAAGCCATTAAGCCATCTTGAGACTTAAACATTGGTAGAGCCAGGGAGACTGCGTGAGCTGATCATGCCTCTTGCTCTCATGTTGAAACCTCAGATCTACATTGGACTCGGGGAATCGCTGCCCCGACTCTGATTCAGCAGAAGTCGACGATGTCACCGTTGCTCCAGACTCGGAGTTGGATGTCATCTCTTGCTTCCTCGTATCACCCCCAGTTGCTAGTGTCAGCTCTAGGTTGAAGTCCTCGGTGAAACGAGCGGTCTTCTCGCCTGAGTTGATGTACCATTGTGGTCGATCTGTATCCATCATCGATTCTGGTTGAGTATCCTCTCTTCCCTGAGCTGGGCTCATCTTAACAGCCTGCATCTCCTTCATCAGCCGCTTCTGAACCTCGTATACGCGATGCAGCTCGTGAACCTGCTTCAACAAAAGAACATTCCGTTCAATATTTCCACCAGTATAGATAGAAGATGGCACTACTTCTAACCAGACATTGGTTTACCTGTTGTCTGAATGTCTGCTCTTGCCTCAGGATGGCCATCTTCATGTGTTTCTTCTCCATCTCTCACCAACCCACACGAAGTATCAGCCTCACCTGTTTCATCAGAGCCTGACACATGAGCACCAAAAGTTTTTCTCCCAACAATAGCAAGATACTGCATATGCGTCGCAATAATTGGAGCTTTGTATATGTGCTGGTTGCGTGTCTGCTTGTCGTGAATTATCTCCTACCCTGAGATGGAGACACTCTCATGTGTAGCTTCTGAATGATTGTACTTGCTCCTCTATAGCTCTGTACAAGTTCTATTATTCTCCACATAGGAGTATCCAGCTTGCTTTGCCATTTTGCCAATTAATAAGTTGTATAGTTGTGTAAATGAGTATCCTAATATCCTATGCAAGCATAAATAAATGCTATGGTGGTGTGCGATGTGACCTAACACATTAATCAGTTTTTCTGTGAGCATGTGAACTGGTTTGTTACAGGGAAATAACATGGGGAAGACCTGGTTGTTATTCTGTCGAGAAATGTTATATAAAAGTTTGGTACGTATTTTCCTTGTGAATTATATAAAGCATATATCATGAATACTGTCGTAGATCATATGAAGGGAGCTATGCACGTCTGTCAGACAATTAGGACTGCTAAGATCTTGAGTTCGTGGAGGCAACAGTAAGAAGCATTTTTAGGTCTGATCATTTTAAGTTCGTATGCTTGCACAATTCTAATTTTGGCTTCTAATATACGTACTTGATTTACAAAAAAATGTAGGTTTTCCTATCTGTACCCAAACTCCATCAGCCTTTCAGTGTTTCCCACCCATCCCTGCCCAAATTGAAACCTACCGAATTTACACCCTGCAACTGTAGTACCGTTTTTCTTTGAGGTAGAATTATACTCCCTCCGTCCTAAAATAAGTGTCTTGAGCTTAGCACAGATTTGTACTAAAGGTAGTACAAAGTTGAGACACTTATTTTGGGACGGAGGGAGTAGTAGAAAATACGGCATAATTCTGCATCTCCGTTCCTTGCTCTATATGCTTCCCGAGAGAAACTACTAAACAGTTTCAACACAGATTGCAGCTCTGAAAAGATCAGAGCCCCCTAAAACGACAGGAGGAAGACCAGCTACAGTTTCCTGGCAAACAGAAACATGCTATTGCACTTTCTCAAGGCTGAACATCAGCACCTTCCTTTGCACATGGAATTACAAAAACTGAAGAACAGAAAGAATGAAGGACTGATCAAAGGACCGCGGTTCGCAGACTTGGAAGATGTTATTATCATGTCCCATGAAAGCTAGCTGAATTGCAGAACTTTCAAGACTAGAATCATCGGAGATGAACAAGGTAAGAAAAGAGGAAGGAAGTATCAAGAGACTTGTGCTCACCTCTGGCAAGGAGTCCTGTTTCTGAATTCTTCTCTTCTGAACAAGGTAAGGCACTCTCCCTCTTTCTCCCCCAAGAAGATCTCTCTTGCTAGCTACTTCTAGGCCAAGGTCCAAACCTTTTTGGTTCTGTTAAGAAGCAACAGGTTGGCATGTATCAAATCTGGTGAGGCAGGGAAGGGAGGGAGGGGATTTAAGATTCTCTCCTGTCATTAGTTCTACTGTCATGGTGGGGCCTTGTGGCCGTGCCAAACAAACCCAAGCCACTTAGGCCAATGGAGTTCATGCATGATAAAGGAGCCAAAGATGCTCCTATGTAGGTAGTGCCAAGAAAAGGATAGGACCAAGATAACAAGCCCCAGCTATTAATATTCTCATCTCCGGCGCCAATAATCGGACGCGCGGCCCCCTCCCACGCTACATCGTGCAAGATTTCCGTTGTCCAACTGCACGAATCGATATGTTTATCGCACGATGGATCTTGTTCATGTTAGGACAAGTGTGGGTTTTTTTAGTCCCAAGTTTATTCGATTGTTTGTGTTCTCAGTGGGGTTGTGGCGCTTTTGTTGGTTTATTAGAATGTTTTTTTTTGTGTGTGTGTGGATCACTGCATCATGAGGTTCACTGAACAGACAGCTAGGCATGTCATGTTTTAGATCTCACATACTCGCATGTGCACTGGATTAAGATTATCATCGCCACTTGTCACAACTCATAGATATAATCTTTTATTACTGTCATCCAAAGTCAGAACATATGCCTCAGCATCACATGAAAAGAAAAGAGTACAAAAAAGGTGCCCAACTCAACTGATTGCCACAACAGAAGGAAATAATAAGCAGTACAAGGCCCATCATTTTTACCGGGTTAGTTACTTTCTTACGGCCAAGGCCCAAGGGGCAAGCGAAGAATTACTATTAACCTGAAGGCAGGATCTTTTTTCCTACAGACAGATCCAGCAATGAATCCTGACCAGATTCAGAATTCAAGTGTGGATCTTGTGTTGGCTCATATGCTGCTCAAGATTGGGCAGTGTGATTGGATAGCGAGTTATGTGGGAGTGGTTGGTAACAATAACATACATGTGTTGGTCCCGGTCCCCCTCACCCTCAGGATATGTGGGAGGGAGAGGCCTGCAACGCAAGCAAACTGTTCACTCCCATTCCAAGGATTTTGACAAGTCAGGGCCTGAAGATCCAAGAGCTCCATGCATGATTAGTTCAACACACATGGTGTCAGCCCTGTCACTGTCCATCTAATTGGCACCGGATGCATGTCCCCGTCACCTCCCCCAGAGGATTAGCTGGATTTGTTAGATGTTTGTACACTTGTCATCTGGGTTAGTAGATGCATGATTTTGTTCGGGCGATTGGGTGCTTAGGGCATATTTAATGCCGACCCGCAAACCTTTCGCATGCGTCCAGACCGCGTTGTCCGGACAGCGAAAACTATCCAAGGCAGGTTTGTATCGATTCGCAGAGCGGTCCGGATGCGATTTCCCCCATAAAGACAAACGCGAGGGGGCTTTGCGAGAGTCCGGATCGATCCCAAACCCGCTTCTGACCATCCTGGCCTATCAAAAAACATTTCTCCCTCCTATGCGTTTTCAGTCAGTGCCATTCCAGAGCGTCAGCGCTCACATTAATGCTCGGTCAGAGCGGACGCAACCGCTCACTGGCGCTGGCATTGAAGCGGTGTGCCGGCCGAGAGAGCGCCGCCCGCGTCGCTTTCGGCATAGGCGACTGCCGTGCGTTCAAACGACACGACGGTCGCCCGTCCGTCCGTCTGCCACCCACATTAATGGCACGCGTCTGCCGAGGCGTCTCCTCCAGCGTCATCCGTCCGGCCCTCTGCCGCCCACCATTGCTATATAAGTCGGTGCCCTGGTCATAGCCACTGTCATCCACCTCCGATCCCTCTCTGCACCACTCCCACCATGGATCCCTCCCCCGCCAAAGCTCTCTGGGACGGGCTGACGTTGGACCAGAAGGAGATGGCCGCCATTGCTGCCGGCTCGCTGGCCGGCAGCCAACCGAAGGACGATGACGTCTCAATGGAGGACGCTGCCGACGACGAACCGGCACCACCCTCCTCCACGCCACCATCCTCCTCCTCCGCGCAGCCCTCGCCGGTGCATTGCACCATGACCATCGGCGAGGCCCATGCCCATTACATGGACATGGTGCGGGAGGAGCGGGAGGAGCAGTTTCGGGAGGCGCAGACTGGCGTCGCCTACAACCACCACCTCCTCCAGGAACATCTGCAGGCGAAAAGAGCAGCTCGCCGCCGGCAGAGCGGTCACGCCGGACGCGGACATGGCGGAACAGGAGGCGCTGCTGGAGTCCTGGCGCTCCGCCCGCGAGATCTGCCTTGCCCGCTGGCGATATGGTAGCGGGTGGCGGAGGTGGCAGGCGGCGGCAAGGCGTGCGATGATGAGATGAGTGAGGCGGTGTTCGGCGAGACCGACGAGGAGGAGGACATCGCTGAGTTTTCGCGCCTCGCTGCGACAACCACGAAGCCGACACGTCCGCGGGCGCCCCTGGTAGCGCGAAAGAGTAGTGCACGGTAGGGTTGCTGATCTGGTCCCAGGAAGGCCACCGCTCCTCCCCTCCCATCGATGCCAAGTTTGGTGGGCTCAACATCGTGGACCGATTAGTCGCTTGGCGGCGATGTGGAGGTGGACAACTTCACTTCCTGGGCCTCCAGAGGCGGAGCTGGAGAGCGCCGTGGCGAAATTGGAGACAGTGAAATTTTAGTTCTCTTGGTTCATGGTCGGACACGGGGAATGGGCGTCGGTGATGATTTAGACCTAGCTGGATGAGCTCCGCTTAGTCGATGTAAATGTAATGAAATCCGTCATGTTTATATGAAATCCGCCCATGTTTATATGAAATCCGATCGTGTTTGATCGAATTTCGTGCGGTTAGTTTGAGTTGTTGTCAAAATGTATGCGGCTAGCGCTGGATGGCGGCCTCCCGCATCAGTCTGCGGACATGTTTACATGAAATCCGGTCGTGTTTGATCAAATTTCATCCGATTAGTTTGAGTTGTTGTCAAAATGTATGCGGCTAGCATTGGATGGCGGCCTACCACATCCGTGTCCGTGGACTGCCCCCCCTCCCCCTGTCCGCAGACGAATGTGGGAGAAAATTTGTAGGTTCCCGTTGGAGATCCCATTATGCCCCAATCTTCTTTGCATGCATTTGCTGGAAATCAAAATCTGTGTCATTTCCGTCTTGGTTGTTATTAATTCGGATGAGAGGGATTACTTTTTTTCTTCCAGATAAACACTTGGGATGGCAAAGGAAAAGAAACCCCATGATCTGTTTTTTATGGATTGACGATTTTCTCCCGACGAAGATCTCCCCCTCCTCCTTCCGCTCCCCCTCCCGATGCATTATAGCAGGCACGGTTCACGTGTGCTCATGGTGGGTGCCACCGCCAGGGCCGAGGAGGAGGGGTGGTGCATGGAGGATGGCAGATTCCAGAGCACCAACTTGTTCCATGTGGAGGAGGAAGGTGGTCTACGGTGGGAAGATGTCCCACCTATCCTCTAGCATCATTCCGACCAGATGTGGAGTACAAGGTTGGCATGACTACCGAAAGATCCATTTTCAATATGATGTTTGTAACACCGAGGTTCATGTGAGAGCTGGAACTCTTGTTTTGATCTT